GGAGATTGGGGAAGGGGAGGGAAATTGGGCCTCCGGTAACCTCACTCACGCGACGAAACACAATGCAAGCGTTGCTTCACGTCGGTTTTCTGTGAGGCCGTGGTATCACTCCGGTCGAGCCGGCCCATTCGTGCCGAAGCATGGCTCTCCCACACTTAAAAGTAGTGTAGTAGTTATTCGGACTTTTTGATTACTTACTGTAAAATTATATTTTAAAAATCGAAATCAAAATTTAAAACACGTTTTAAGTAGTAGGGAGATTAACGCCCCAAAATAAACACAATAAATAAAAGTATTAAATAATGGTGATAGTACAGGGTTGCCACCACTTCGAATATCTAAGAAGTATAGTAGGTACAACTATGGACTTTTCTCACATTTGGAATTTGTAGATCGTCATTCCAAATGAACTCAATACCGTAGCAACTTGTTGCATGTACTTTCATTCAGTGTATGTGAGGGTGACATTCATTTTCGTTAGATTTCAGTTTCTAATGTAATCTCTTATTATTTTATTAATCTGAAGCTTCCATTAACTTCGTTTCTATGCAGAGTATGTTTTTGGAAAATGTGTGGAAAATATAGAAAAGATGTTTATTGACTGGAAGCATTTTCATGTAATTTTTAACGTTATAGGTCTGACTTTGAACTTCAAAGAGTTGAAGAGCCCTATAGTCCACCAGTGGCTTAATGATCATAAAATTATTAATCCTAAGACTCGACTTACCATAAATAGGTCCAATAATAACGCACATCACGATGACCAGCATAGTGACCCTCAGTCTACGGTTGTTCGGTCCTTGCTTGAAGGTCACCATAACAGTCTCCTTCACATATCGAGTGTCGAAGAAATTTCGCAGCCATTCGCAGAGATTGGTTGCTGATTTCTGAAAATAGGCAAAATTAAGAGGTTAATACTCGCTCAGACATACATACACAACCTCACGCCTGTCTCCCATGGGGTTAGGCATAAACTATAGAACGCTAATTGCTACGATTCTTATTTCTATTATTCTTACGCTTTATCAACAGTCATCAGTCTTTTCATGCATGCTCAACGGTTAAAAGTACTTTTAATTTGGCCCATCTTTAATGTAAATCGCCTATCTGGTCGATATATGTCCGTCTAGGGTGCTGTCACCGATATATGCACAATTTCACCAACGCCTATAAGGTGATATTTAATGACATTACGTTTTTACCAATCTATAAATGACATCTAACAGCCAGTAACAGGTCAGTTTAGGTGATACGTCTCACCTAAACTCACCAAGTGACTTTTAGTTAAGAGATAGTTTAGGAGTTTTTGGTGAAAACGGTCATAATAAAGCGAAACGATTACATGGTGACAACAGGGGGCGAATAACAGCTGCATTCCCGCCACTTGATTCCTATGAAGTAAAGGCAATTTACTATTTGGTTCTTCTGGGTCTAGTATAGGCCTAGAAATGATTGCAACGTTTTCTTAAATACAATACCTACATCAATATACAATTTAATCAAGTGATAGCAAATATTTCTGACGCAGTTCAATAGTATGCTATGATAGATTTTTGATCACTTTTGATGAAGTTAGTCTCCACAATTTCGTAACATAATATATTAAAAAATTCCAACAAAACATTTCATTACATTTTTAATCTTTTCAACTTCTCGATGAAAATGAAAATAAAAATTGTGAAAGACTTCGCTTTTAAAAGTCGGCCATACAAGTGTTCCAGACGAAAGCTTACAAAGTAAAAATAAATAATCAATACAGCGTTCGGTAATGTTTTTATCCAGAACTGAGTGGAAATGTACCGGAGAATTTTATAAAAAAATTGAAGTTGATGAAGTTAAGAAATGGTTCAGTTATATAGAGCTGTAGAGCATTTTCCATTTTTGCCGTTTGTTAAGTACTTATAAAGACTATTACTTATAACATGAAAAATAACTATAAAAAGCATATACCCAAGGGTTTATGGTATTTTATTTCGCACATAAATGAAGTTTTTTCTTCTAAAGGCTTCAGCATTTTAAATAAACTTAAAGATTTTGAACACAGGATGAGCAGAGGTGTTCTGGGTCTCGCAAACATCCTTGTATTTGCTTTTACAGCCTCCAAGACGATAAAAATAAACAAATAGGCCAATTTAATAAGAGGCTTAAGTACTCGATATTTTCCTTCTCAGAGCATGTTATTGACGTCAATACAAAGTACCTTCAGTGGAAAAATTGTATCCAGTATTGATTTAAAATGGAGATTCTTAATTCTGTTGTTATTTTTTCATTACTGTGTAATGAATAGCAAGCATATCATTATCGTACATTATCATCACTATCAGTCTCTTGCCACGAACTATTGCTATGCAATAGTTTGCTGCAGAGTTCAATTTTCTTCGCGCATAACGATAATCTAGAGGTAGATGTAACTGGAAGGCTTTGTAAATAATAGAACTAGGATTATATTTATTAACAGTATCTAAGTATTCATTATTATGATTGGTACTGTCCTTTTTCTATTGAGGTAACCAACAACATTGTGACTAGCAGTAATAGTATTTATTTTGAACTAGTACTATGCTTTATCTAGGGAGATGACCCCCAAACCTTATAACTGACAGATGGTGTAGAATTTAGATTAAATAATATCTTGTTACTATTTCTGATTTTAAAAAATGGGGTCATCGACTTTCAAATCCAAATAACGATTCACAACACAGATAAGGTATTTGAGTAGAAGTTGTTCGAAGTTAGTTGCAAAATACTGGAATTCCCAAAGTCTTAAAGTTTTAAATGAACTACAAATTATCTAACAAGCCTCACTTTTTTACAGCTTAATTTTTAAATAGCATCATCAATCAGTTACGGCCCTGATGCTTTAAAGTCGTAGACGATCTTCGAAAAAAATATTGTATCTTTCCTAAGGCCGCGTTATGTCTAACTAACTTGATGAGTTCATTTGCGGAACTTAAATCTTTCATCGCAAAATTGCGATAAAATGAAATCCAAAACTGTGTAGTTTGTTTATGGGTATAGAATTATGAATAAGGAACTAGGAACTAAAATGTAAATACAAGGTGTAGTTTTGTAACCGTGTCATTTCTCGAGGGCATGTCACAGAAGTCATAAAGGTTCAATATAAGAGAAAATTTTGGGCCAATAGTTAAAAATACTCAGAATCGATAGGCGAGTTAACTCCTTGAAAATGACGCGGGTTTAAAACAACACCTTGTACCTATAGTGAAAGTTTATAAGGAAGTTTATATGTTTAGTTACCCTTTCATGTCAAAACTAGGTTTACTTGCATTAAATTAAAGACAAGGCATAGTAGATGTCTTTACCAATCACAGGGCTATAGATTCCCAGTCATTTGAGACGCATACGAGTGGCCGAAGCCAACTGCGCAGAGGTCCTTTAGACAATTTTAATATAAATGTAATGGACACGACACAAACCGACTATCCCGGACTGAACTATGGAAATGCACTATACCAATCCCCGGTTAGTATAAAACTATTGTAGATAATAGCAAAAAAGAAGGGCTATGGATGGATTGCTGTGTTGACTGGTAAATTGGAAACTATGGATGACTATGGCACCTGCCGAAACAAAGTAATTATACCACGTAAAAATGACAAGCGGATACTCGCTAACTCACCGACGCGGACCCCGGGAATGGTTGCTAGGTATAGAAACGGAGGGACAAGACAACGGAAATGTGAACGAAAAAAGTGGGTGAAAAAACTACCACTGCTTTCTACTCAGATCAGAATGATAGATTATTATTATAGTCTTAAATAATACATAAGCTTCTTTGTATCCGACATACTATAAGTTATGCAGTTGTGTTGCCAATTTCTTTTTGGAAGACTTGTTTTGATAAATAGGTAGTTCATAAATGTTTGCCAATACCACTCATTGAATTGGTATTATTTGTAGCCATACAAATGAGGAATACCGATCAAATCTTGAAAAATGACATATATTGCGAAATATAATTAATGAATACCAATATAATCGGCCTCGTGTTCGCGCAGCTATTTTTAGTCGATCTTCATAGAAAAACATCATCGATAGACCTTCTTAAGACGCAAACGTGCTACCGATTATACAAACGACATCGTTTACACGCCATGATGAACAATTACGTTTTTTCTCATGGATATCAAGTATAAAGTGCGTAAACGCGGAGGCTGTTCTGTGGTCAATTAAGTATTCATTGCAGTCATTCGCAAAGTCATATAAAATAAATCTTTATTTTGATCTTAAGTTACAAGTCCCTAATAGCATGACTCGTATGTTGCAATAAATACAAAACCTCTTTAGACCAACCTATACGTCAGAGAATGTTATAGGAGAAAATGCCTCTCACATCTTGAACATATTTATATTTCAATTACATAAGCAAACTAAATTAAAAAAAGTAATAATAATAATTTGTTAAGATAAAAAGTTTTTCATTTTACTTCATTTTTTTGAGTCCATTATGACATAATTATTATTAACTGCCTACTAGGACAAGGACGTCGAAAATGTCAATACAATAATATTTTTCAGTTGGTAGCCTAATTCTACTTCACAAAATGGGTGTAATAGTCAATATAATAATAATAATAATAATAAATCTTTATTAGGCATTCCAGTGTTTACAGTAAAAATTTTCAATGACAGCCGCACTAGGCAAAGCCTGTATCGCGGCTATCAACAATACGATTTCCTTAGGACTAATGCGATCAAAATACTAATACAAAAAAAATTAAGTAAAATATAACAAAAAGACAATTAATGTATGAAGGGTATGTGTGTGAGTGTGTGAGTGTGTAAGGGTGAGTGATATACTTAATATCCTGGAGGTACGCTTTGATTATATTTAATTTTTCTAGATCACAAGGAGAAAAGTTAAAGGTTTTATACAAATTACTATAGGAAAATAAGTTTATATTAAAATTGTTAAAACGTGGACGAATCTTTTAGCGTTGGACACAAACATTTTGGCGTATTGGTCTTTTGGGCCAACATTGGCTGTTGGCATATTAAAACGCGTATCTTTTTCTTATACTATTTCTTTGCTGGGCAAAGGTCTTGCTAATTTCGTCAGCACTTTTTTTACATCCACTTTTTTACTATATTATGTGCGTATATAAACTTTTCAGTAATTGCAAAAACTTGGTTTTCCTTAGAACGACACGACGAACGGTAATGTAATCCTCATTATTAAGTAGCTAATGTAATTTCTATTTTGATAAAGTGCAGTAATTTAGAAATTATAACTTAGAAAGTTACTGGTTAACAATAAAAACTGATTAATACTTTTCTTTAAATATTAAGCGTCGTCGTGGTGGCAGGAGGTTAAGACACCCGCTTTTCATGCATGAGGGTGCCAGGTTCGAATTCTACCAACGGCAAGTACCAATGTGACTTTTTCCGAGTTATATGTATTTTCTAAGATTATTTAGACACCGTTGACAAACGGTGAAGGAAAACATCGTGAGGAAACCTGGACTTATAATTTCCAATAATTAGTTTGAAATCACCAACCCGCAATGAGCAAGCGTGGTGATTAATGCTCAAACCTTCTCCGTGTGAAAAGAGGCTTTGCACAGCTGTGAGCATTTATAGGCTGTTGATGATGATGATGATAAAATATTAAGCACAATCAAAATACTTGTACGAAATCGAGATCTTCACTTTACTGAAAATACAACCAAATAGATCGATTAATATGCAGTCTGTACTGTGTACATGTATAGGAATAAATTTACTTACATGTTTCAAGTAATATAATAAAGTTTACTTATGTATCTGGGTCTCAAACTAAAAACTGTAAAATTGAATAACTCCTTGAACATTACTCGATTGATTGACTAATTCTAGACCTCAGTTTTGTAAGGCGTGCCATTGAGAC